CAAATTCTAAAACATCAAATTATTCCCAAAAAAGAAAGAAACGCAAAAAAAAAAATCATTTTGGGAATCCACAGAACAAGGGCAAGACGGGAAATAGAAGCAAGGGGAGGGGCTGATCCATTAGTATTACCATCAGTCGGAGAGCTGAAGAACGATCATTAACGACTTCTCAATTGTGACTCCTATCCAAAAAAAAAGTCAAAAAGGTTGACCCCACAAACCGTTCCTCCACCTGCCGCTGGTCCTTTTCTTGTCAGTTTCTTTTTGGTTTTTTTTTTTAAAAAAAATATATTCCAACCTTTTTCCATAACCCCCCGTCTCCCGGAACCCCACCTCCCCAAAAAAAAAAAAGAAAAGAAAAGGAAAAAGCAAATTTAAAATAGTTAGGAGTAACTTTTAACTGCCAAATGCCAAGTAACATGACAGATGTCTGACTTACGTGTGCTGATCACGTGTCCACCCGTGATTATTCTCTCCTGCTTCGGCTTCTAAATGTTTCTTTTGTTTGAAAGCTACACAATTATTTCAAGATATCTCTCATAGGCCCGCTTTCCTTTTCCATATTAATTATACGTAGTTTCCAAAATTGTAACTCATCTAGTAGTACTAATATCGTTTCCAATCTCCTCTAGAAAAAGAAAAAACAAAATATGCAGTGAGACTCCAATCACGTAAATTTATAGCTTCAACTAAGCTTCCAAGCATGTTTATGTGCTATCATATGTGGGAAACTAATAATCTAGTGGAGAATTATCGAGGGAGGATTATAATTCAGGGGAGTTCTATAGTACCTTTTGGGTAGTATATCGTTATGTATCAATTCACCGTTGGATTGGATGTATAAAGAGAGATACTTAGATGATTTTAAGAGTTTAAATTATTGAATGATGTGACAAGAGTTTATTATATTATAATCATGGGTACGATACTCAAAAAAGATGGTAGAATTTCTCAGTTAGTTACTAGAAGATCTAGAAAATTCGTTTAATCTATAGCTATATTATCAAGCCTTTCTTTTTTTTTTTTCCGCTCAAATGGGAGGAGGCTGAAGCCCTTCCCTCTATCATACACAACAATGACCCAACCACATCCAAGAGGAGCTTGATGAGATCCATGGATATGGTGCTTTAGCATCTTTACTTGTGCCAATTGTAAAGGTTGGCAATTTTTTTTTTTTATCAATTGTCAACCCTATTTTTACTCCTATTCTATTCTAATTTAACTACGAGGGAAACCCAACTAGACCTATAGGGGACCGATAAGGACGAAATCACCACCGAACCAGACGGGTGCACCACACACCCGTCTGGATTTTTTTTTTTTTTTAAGAACCACAATTGTAAAGGTTGGCAATTGAAGATGACAAAATGTGTGTTTTGGGCCTACATAGTATGGACTAATTGATGCATGGCTAAGCGCAATGGCCAACAATGACGAGAAATTTTTGATGAGTTAGGTGGAACGCATCATCTTTACCTGCAAATACAACGAAAAATGAAGCTACAGAATCAGGGTTTTGTCTCACGAGATGATTTCAATGCCTAAGCCAGAGATTAGGAGTGCAAAAGTTTATATGAGCAAGAAGGAAGGTATTTATAGTCTAAAGCACTAGTTAGTTTGGATCCTAAAAAAATCGAGTGAATTGATAACTATAGGGAGAATAGTAGGTTGGCTTTGAGACATGTGATTTCTAACCATTGTCACATTAGGCAGCATGATCGTGCATTATTTAAGTTGAGAGCCATATTTGTAAATGGAGTATAAAAAATGGTAGTATGTGACCTATCATGCAAACTTGTCCATTGTTAATTAGCTGTAATGATCTACAGAATAGTAGTGTTAATGATTTTATAAATTTAAATTTTAGATGAATCTTTTCTAATCCGTCAGTGTAATGATTTATTTACACGAACACCCTTAAATACATAACAACATATGCTAAATGAAAATTTTAAATTTGAATTAAAATCATTTTTTGTGGATTCATTTCAAACCTATTTGTGTAAAAAAAAAAAAAGATTCTTATACCTAAAATGCATGAAAAATTGATCATTAAAATTTACTTTTTTTTTGGTTGGTTGCACTTGCATATGACAATTGAAAAAGCCACACCATATGCCCATAAGTCATAAGAAGGATTCTCATCCTTCATCTAGGCTGTAAGTTGGGGTTGCAGATTGATCAAATTCCTGTTGAGGACATTCCCTCAACATTATTTAGACTGCTGCTACATAATTGTAAAACCAGTTGGTTGGAATAGAAAAGAAGCCAAAACAACCATGCATTCATTTTTCAAGAAACCAAATTGTCTTCACTATCCACCGACTAAATCACCATTGAAAACCAGCATCAAAGACCTTTTACCACAAAACCAACAAAGACAAGTATGAGTCCGATAATCTGATCATCATGAATTTGACATCCCATTCTTCCCATAACAAAGGAAGGGCTCAACTAATTTAGTGGTGATGGCCTCAGCCACTTTTAGGCTTCTAAGGAAAAGGAAGGATGAGAATTTTGCATCCCATTCTTAATGTTTTATGCTGCTCCTCTATGTAGATACTTTTCCCCTTTATTCCCTTGCATCTTTTGAGCATTTGACCATGTTTAATATGATTCTGTACCTTAAAAAAAAAAAAAAAAGAGGAGTTAAGTGTTCAATGTTACAGACAAAACTGCTATCAAGCATCATGTTCCCCTCAAATTTTCCTTGCCATACACATGTAAATTTTACATTTTTGTACCATCTCATTTAAGTTTTCCTCTACTTAGACAGCCACATCCACAGGAAGGAAAATCAGAAAGCCACAAAAAACAACCATGAAGCTAAAGCAAAGGAGAGAACATGCAGAAACTATAACGAAAATCTGAAATTGAACCTAATATTTGATGGAAATGACTGAGCAACATATTGCAATAAGAAAAAGGAAGACTTGGTAATAGATTCGTTTGTCCGGTGGAAGCCCACACAAGGACAAAGAAAAAGAAAAAACAATCAAACGACATGAGTTGTTGTAATATGTTATCTATGATATCATGCTAATGTACTAAATTGTTGAAAAATGGGAGAAGAAACGACAAAGTCAAAATTAATAAAAATGAAAACTAGACAAGTAGACAAATTATTATCAGTTACAAGAGCCTTTTCATGCACTTTTTCAATATACTTCTGCAAATATTTGTTCCCATAATGAATTGGTCTATTCTAAGTATAATCTATAAGTTACAGAACACAAGCTGCTGCTCTAGACCACTCTTGATGCCAATCAAAGGAGAAAAATGCCGACACAAACATAAAAAGGTAAGCGATAAGAATAAACGAAGTGACAAAATGGCATTTAAAGTATCCTCCGGAAATCTATAAGAATTTTGCTCTCTCTATATAGATAGAGGCTCGTAGATAACTTGGGTAACGCTCAATTTTAATTGGAAGAGTACAAAAAATGGGCATAAGAGAAATAGAAGTAGCTACTGGAAACAAGTTATTCATACACGAGTTGGAAGACGTCTGTGACTCGGTAACGGGACGTGCACTCACTGGGTCATGGATTTGGGACTCGGCTGTAGTGTTGTCCAATTGGATATCAGCTCGAGCCCAACTTGGCTACGATTTGAGTAGCAAGACAGTCCTCGAACTCGGTGCTGGAACGGGGCTTCCTGGATTGACGGCAGCTCGGCTTGGCGCCAGCCGAGTCGTACTGACAGATATAAAGCCACTAATTCCGTTATTGGAGAAGAATGTGGAGGTCAATGGACTTGGCGACCGAGTTCTGGCGTGTCAACTCGCTTGGGGATCGGACGAGATACCGAGTCAACTCAATGAGTTAGGCCACGTCGACTTGGTGCTGTTGTCGGACGTGTTCTTCGATGCTGCGGAAATGGGTGGACTGGCCAAGACGCTGAAGAAAGTATGTGGTAAGGAAACGACAGTGTGGGGAGCCACCGAGGTGAGGCCGTGGACGAGTGCAAGCTTAGGTGAGTTGGAGAGTGAAGGGTTTGGAATCGTTGAACTGTCGAGTCAACTCAGCGATGGATTGCATGAAGAGGTGACAGGTGGCGATCAGGAGGAGATCTCTGTTTTCCAGCTGGTTCCACCCGGTCAAGATTGCGAGCCTTTGGAAGCGTGGTCGCCAATTGTCTATTGATCCAACCAAGCAAAGAAAAAAGGTTTATCATAAAGTTCCAAACATAAAAGTGCAAGTTTCATCTTCACAATTGCTGCTGCAATGCTTGAAGTCGAACAAAGGAAAAGACATCAGACTTTTTGCTCAACTGGAGGGCATTCAAATATTAAGACCATTGTTTATGAAATGCTCATTTAAGTCCGATATCTCACCAAAATAATATAACAAGTAGCCTGTTATCAGTTAGTATAAGATGAGAAATATTTAAATTTTTAATGTCTAAATGCATGTCTGTAAAGCTCAATATAGACATTTACTCAATATTATATAACTTGTTTTGATATCAATAATATTTCTAACTTTTTCGTAAAAAATTATATATATATATATAAAAGGTTTCAAAACATAACCATTTTTTTCTTGATAATTTTATAACATAATCTATAATAGTTTTACACCCCAAGGTAATTTATAGACTTGTTTGACATTAAAAAAATGGATGATTTTACATGTTGGGACTCAGGTGACCTTTAGATGTTAAACATATATTTTAATGTTGTTTTGTTTCGTTCTTAGTATGAAGGAAATGGTTCATTTGATGTTCCAATTCGGCAGGCCTTGTTGCATCCAAATAAATTGCGAACTTTTGATGCATCAGTAGAGTTAAATATCATATGCCCACCGCAATGCGATGCTGCAGTTTGATAGAATTCACTTCACACATGGATTATGGCACAAATTTTACTTGAAGCCATGTTTCAGCTAGTTACAATGCAAAGCACGTAATTAGTAGTTAAGGGCCGAGGTAACGATTGAATTTTACCTGGAATCTCAGCAAGAAGATTATAAGAAAATCACTGTCACAGTTACAGGAAGTGAATACGAATCAAGTATAATCCCTATATCTCTTTAACAGGTATCTGGCTTGCAACACATCAGTAGTTATCCTATCTAATAAACTAGAAAAAGGAACTGCGTGGATTATATTAGTGAAATGGACACCATAGACATGTAGCTTCAACCATTCACTATAATTGGGATGATCAACAACAATCCACAAATTTGCTCGTCCCCCAAACAAGACACGAATCCACTGAATCGGATTCAAGGGGCAAGCAATCAAACTCAATGAACACCCATGGAACGCATATATCTAATAAAGACCTAATAGTGTAGACAGTGCCTGCGCAACCCACATATCAACCATATTCTCAATTACCCAATTACTGACTAGATATAGAGCATAATTACATGTCAGGAAGAGCCGAAAGGTTCAGGCGAGTCTCCTGCCATGTAGTGCAAGACTGCACAAGACTTTGCAATTTTGTAGCTCCCGGGTCATCTGCAGTATCCTTAAAAGCAATCGAATTTGCTTCCATCAGATCCCACCCTTCGGACAAAACCACGCCATGTAATGCTCTCTGCAAGCTATTTAATTTCACGAAGAAATTTGGGGTTATCTTTCTCCTCAGCACCAGATGAGCTGCCTGTGTTCAACCAAAAGACACGGCATTCCTTTGAATCAATTGGCTGATCCAATCACTCAGAATCATCCAAAAGGGATGTTGCATCAACCAAATCCCATTTATTTCGGATTTCTGACATCATCTTACGACGGATAATTTGTTCACACATGACAGCACAAATCAAGTTGCTGGATGCGAGGACAATACCCCGTCACGTATACTAGCCGATGTTCTCAACCATTATAGTGGAGTTTCTGGTTTTGCGACCCTTGACCCTGCTGGGTCTGCTGCTGTTGCTGCTGAGTAGCCTGCACGTTTAGTGGCTGTGTGTTGTAGTGGCCAAATGGCTGGGAATAAAGTGGATTGAGCATACTCTGCCAAAGAGATAAAAAGATTCAGATACTCACGAAGACATAATCACTGAAATGATTCAATAAAATGATCAATCCAAAAAAAAAGGGCAGAATTCCCAGGCATACGAAGGTTTTAAACATTGGCAAATGGTTAAAATAACCAATAGTATGTGGTGAATTGACCATTTAGCAATTTTTAAAAGTTGGCAAATGGTCAGGACTCCTTACAGTATGCGGTCATCTCAACCCAATTAGATGATACTATAACATGCTGCATCTATGAATAAGAAACGCAATTACTCAAAGGAACCTGAGACTGAAGTGGATTGGAATTGGGCACCCCAAAGTGGTTCTGTGAAGTGTCATCTTGAGATGGATCATTAAATCCAGCCTGTGTGAATAGACCTTGTGAACCATGAGCCATATAGTCCTACAGTAGCCAAATAAACGGTCAGATCCCTGGGCAAAAGAAGTTAAAAAAGACGCATGCAGACACACTTTAACATAATACAACATTTACCTAATTTGAAACCATCTCTAATAGAGATGCCCCCAGAACCCCACCAATCACCCAAAAGCAACATAGGTTTCGATTCCGATCTCATTATCCAAAGAATTACAGAAACAACAAACAAACCTGAGACATGAAATCATTTCCTGTTCCAAAGCGAGAATATCCCGCTTGGGAACTCTGGTTCAAGAAGCTTCCTGGAAATCCACCTTGTGCACCCTGTGTAACATAATCCACAGCATATCCACTTTGAGAAGCCTGTATGGGAGCAAACAATGAAGCAAAGTTCATGATAAAACATGCATCAAAAGATATGCATGCACACAGTACTGGGGTAAAAGCAATGGAATAATAGAGGCAACAGAGTAATCATCTCCCAGAAGATATGTTAGATGAGATGCAGATGAACAACAAACAAACCTGCGTGGAAAATTCAGCAACATTATATGGAACATGTGACCCTTGACTTTTGAAGTCCTCACCCAAAAAATCCTGATTCATAATTAAAGGATGGATAAGAAGCAATTCAAAGTACCAAAGAAAAAAAGGACTGCATTTTCAACGTTAACTTACCTGTGACATGCCACTCAGAGAATACCCATCCCTAAACGTTTGGCTTGGTCCCTGAACGGTCATCTATCATAATGAAGAGGAGCAAGCAAAATCATAGCAGTCAATGATCTGACCCAGAAAAGAGAACAAAACAGAAACAGAGTATGGAGAGCACTGACATTAGAAACATAGCCTGGTTGAGACAATGGTCCACCAACAGATGGCTGGCTATTTGGATTTTCCAAAGGTGGAAAGTTGAAACTAGAACCAAGACTTCCAATAGGTTGCTGTGAACCTTGCTGGTGTGGAAGATGACTGCCAATAGGAGTGCCAGCACTCCCACGCCCAGCCCCAAAACCCCGGCTACCAGGTTGCGGAACATGAGGAACAGCTCCAACAGGTCCATGTACAGCACCACGACTAGGAATCGCATATGGTTGTGATGGAGGGGCACCATGATAATGCGGAAGGGGTACTCGCTGCATTGGATAACCAGTGGGGTGCATGCCAGCTTTATGGGTACCATTTGGAGGGCCAGGAGGCATGTAAGAACCTGTTTGAAGCAAAATAAGTCTTCATCATTACTCATCCAATGACGAAATAACGATCCTCCCAAAAAATTTCTCAAACAAATAAAACGGTGCATGATTGCTTTCTTGCTTTCTCAGAGCAGCTTTTAACCCACACTGGTTACAGACCATCAGAAGTTTACTTACCCCTGGAACGACTGCCCCTCCTATCTGCATTTGTACTTGAGGTGGCAACAGACCCAAAAGTATCATTGGGAATGATTCCAGGGCCACCACCAAAGAAAAGTCTGCGGTCGTTATAAATCTGTGGATCATAAATTAGGCAATCACTTCAGTATAACGTTATAATCAACAGGTGTCCCAAACAGGGAAAAAAGATTACAACAGCGACATCTAAAGTAAAAAAACTTGGGGAAAATATATCACCTTTTTGGGCTTTTGGAATTGAACCATACTTTGCTTCAAGTTATTCAGTGGTCCTTCAACCAAGCACTCATTTTCCTAATACCAAAATCATAGGCTGATAATCAATGACAAGTACCAATAATGCTGTTAAATTCAGGTTCACCCAAGAGTATATTTCGCACGGAAAAGAAAAAAGAAGGAACAAGAATTTTTTAAGACAGATGCAGAAAATAGTAAGAAAGAACTGAACAGCACTACCCACTTAAAATACTGTTTTCAAGCCAGCTTCCACATGAGAAAACACAGTGAAGTAGCCATACAAGAACCAGTAACCCCAGAAGCAAGGCTAAATTACCTTGTAATGTGTCAATAGGCTATTCCAAAGTGGTTGCTTGCTAAGAACTTTAGGATTTCCCAAGATGACAATGCCATAACGAGCACGGGTTAGAGCAACATTAAGCCTTCGAGGGTCATTAAGGAATCCAATGCCCTGTGCACAAAAATTTGAGCAGAAAAGCATCATATCTTAGCATTTAGGTAAGAATAAAGGATCTGATTAATTAACTTCTCCAAGTATTTACATATAAAGTACATAAAATGAGAAATGTTAACCAACCTGATGCTCATTACTCCTGACACAAGACAGAATGATATAATCTTTTTCCCTTCCTTGGAATGAATCTACACTTGCAACCTGAGATGAAAGTCATCAGGTAGCAATTACTACGATGAAAACATCCAAATATTAGACAAGTTCATGTTGTATTAGTCTTACCTCAATTTCCTTGTACAGTTGCTGTCTTAAAGAACCATTTCTTGACATATAGTTGACTATGTATGCTCGCTGACCCTCATAAGGTGTTATAACTCCTATCTACAAAACATAAGCACAGAAGTGTCATTACACCACTAAAATAAAGATGACACGAAGAAACAGAAAACATAAGAGAGATTTTATTTACCTGACTGGGTACCACACCACTTTTTAAGAAAGTAGTCACAATTTTTTCAACATTTGCAGCCTCAGTTCTATTCAAATAGGATGTACCACTGGCACTTATCTCTTCTTGTCCCATCTGTATTATACGAGTCATGGAGATTTAAATACATTCAATAGGAAATGCAAAATTAAGAAAAACAGATTGGAAAAAGATTTGAAACCAAAAACATCAAATTTTCTGTTAATATCAGCTTTTCACCTAAGCAAGTGATCCCTATGTTGATTTCCAGGAAAAAAGAGAGGAAATATCTCCTATGCACGCAAATTTTTTTTTTTTAAATGTGGCAGTAAATAACTCAGATTTGGAGTTCGATATATTTAGGATTTGCATAACACAACACTATATCACAAATGAATAGAGTAACCAGAAGTTATTTTCTCTATTTCCAATCAGCAGTCACTGCCAAACACTTAGGCTGCAATTTGTCGAGTTCTCAGTGATCAAATTCCTGAATATATGCTTTAAAAAAGATTTTACCTGGACATAGAAGAACATGGGTCGATTTGGAACAGGCCAAGGAAAATCAATGCCAGATGATTGCCTTTCATTGATTGTTACTCCATTTTGAAGAGTACCTTCATAGAAGCTGTTAGATGGGAATTCAGAGAGGGCAGGATGCATTCGATATTGAACCTGTCACTCAAGACAAGAGAAGTTTTACATTAGCAATCTGCAGCACTTTCTAGTAGTTCCAGACCTTTTATGGGTTCAAATGCTGAATGCAAAAAATAATAAATGGATGAAATATGGAAACTGGTGGAACACTAGTCTAAACTCCATGATAAGCTGAGCAGAAAAGCTCATGGTAATGACATGATGCACTTTTAATGCTGCAAGCATCTTCTACAACGGTTGTTTATAAGCATTCTTTTCACCAATCATCACCTAAAGCAAGAATAGAAGGCTTCTTCTAACACCTGCTATTCTAAGAATGAAGGGTTCATAGCAATTATACAATCGAAGCATTATTGGCATTCTGGTCTTCAGAAAATCCTTCAAGGAGGACTAGTGCAGCAGTGAGGAGATATGGAATGAGGATAAAGCACAAGAACTCAGTGAGATTCAAAAGAGTGACAGCAAAGAATCCAGTTAGAAAGAGTTGCAAGCACAAAATACAACCTCCAAACAGTACATATATCAACAAAACCATTGTATAGAAAACATAACTCCCATCCTAGAACCAATGCAACCAAGAGCACATACAGGCATTCAGAGGAAATCACCTGTAATCTAATAGGTTTTACACCAAGTAGTACAAGGCGCTCAAATAGAGATTGAGCTAGCCCAGCACGAGCTGCTTTCTTGCACATTATAACAGGACCAAGCTGGCAGTGGTCACCAACAAGAACCACCTAAAAGAAACCACTTGTCAGATGATAATGCTACAGTGGGCTTTTTTAAATAAATATGGTAACTAAACCAAACAACAAAAAAAGCCACTAAAGCACATAGTACCTGTTTTACACCAAGAACCAAAGGAATAAGACACTCGGGCTCAGTTGCTTGAGTAGATTCATCAATAAGCACCTACAACAGAATTTTTCAAAAGAGGAAAAGAAAACAGAGCAAAAGAACAGTTTAAACAGGAATGAGAACCATCAGGCTAGAGAAAGCCAAATAGCATAAACATATATACTTGCATCTCATGCAATTCACCTGTCGGAATCTAAAATTGGCCAGCCGAGGATCTCCGGCACCCACACAGGTACAACAAATGACATCAGCACTCTGAGATATCTCCCTCTCTGTTGCCCGTTTCAAAGCCTTGTATTTCTTCTCATCACTACTGGACAATTCTCCTGTAATTTTTAGCAGAAAGGGTCATCAAGCTACACACGATAGGAAAGCAAATACTAACGTAACAAGGGAATCAAAATTCCATCTTACATTTCTAGTCACCTAATGTCAACTACATATTTTAAGTGACCAACAACATTACAACAAATGCATTACCAAAAGAGGAGAATGCAGAATCACACATTTTTTTTCCCACCAAAGCGAGAGAGAGAGAGAGAGACAGGGAGGCATTATGCACACTCTATTCCAAACTGGGCAAGTTAAACATCATATCAGACTTCAAAAACAAATCGTGAATGTATAATGATTAGAATCAAATTTGAGAAGGTAAGGCTAAAACCTAGCAACCGCTAAAATGCAGAAACCATTATTGTTCCTACATTTAGGTGCACAGAATTGACTCTGTAATTGATCAAATTTGAGATGGTCTTGCAGTTGCAGCTTATCAAAATTTCTATCTTCTATGACCAACCAAAACATCACTAGATTTTTTTTTTTTCCTAACGATAACAATAAAACATCACTAGATTCATCACCTTTTTATTTTGATTTTCATTGTTTTTAAAAACAGGGCTATTACTTATACTTCTTTTGCTAATGCAATCATCCATGTAAGAATGATAAAACCATCACATAAACTTTAACTGTTAATCCTAATAGAATATTCTCGACAAGCAAAATTTTCCAACGAATTTTAATCAATCGAACTCTATTGTAAAATTTAATAAAATAAACCAAGCACAATTCCAAACACTATGAAGCCAAAAGACAATAATAACATGTGCAGAGGAAATTGGAAATCAGACATAACAAGTATCAAATAAAACACCTCTACATAAAAATATTAGAATGAACTCCACAAATAGAAACTAAATGAAATATCCTAGCCAATAGGCACCCACTAAATGTGTACATATTAAGCCCAATAAAGAACACAGATTTTCTGAGTATCAAAATGTGTGAAGAAATTATAATTTCAATTGAAATGAAATCACAATGATAGCAGGCTAAAACACAAAAGCACACCTTGTTCATCTTTTAGTTGCTGTAATTTGTGCAGTTCACTCTTTTCAGAAGTATCAAGATGCCGGACCTGCCAAGAGACAAGTGAAACGTGCATAAATCTCTTAAAACAGTGTATCACTCAAGCAAACAACACTCGGACAAAGCTGATAGATATTATTAAATGTACCATACCTGATAGTGAAGGGTTAAGTGCTCAACAGGTGAACTAACAGCTTCCCTTGACTTAGCACAGAGTCTAACGACCTGATGAGAGGATGAAATAAAAGAGATGAGGATGTGAAATATTATATAGACCCCTGTACCTCATGCTGTAAGAAGTTGCAAGTCAAGTGGAATTTTATTTGCAGAACATGCTGAGGAAACACCAAAGTGATGCTCTCATCACAAGCAGATAGTAGCAGGACATTCAAATTTGTCCCATGAGACTTGCCAACGCTACAAAATTGTCATGAGTTAAATAAAAGATTAATTTTGAGAGTTAAAGGAAACCTAATTGATTTAGATTGACATTTAAAATCCCCTCAACCAACTCACAAGCAGGTACCTTAAGAAATGAAACAAATCCACAACATGACAGCTCAGTAAGACATATAAATTTGCCAATGAGTGAAGGTCCTTCCAATATTTGAAGCAGCAATTTTTACCTTTAAACCAGTAGCACTTATCTTTTCAGCTAGTTGGTCCACAGCAACATTACTGGGAGCACATACCAAAACCTAATCATGGAAAAAATCAGGCAGTTTATATAGTAAACAGAACATCGCACCGCAAAAAGCTAGATATCCAAAACCTACCTGCCCTTGGCCTTGTTTGGCCATATGATATACAATGGCAGCTGAAGTGACTGTTTTCCCAGTTCCAGGTGGACCTTGAATAAGGCTTATGGGCTTTTGCAGGACACTTTTGACGGCAAAAACCTACACAGGTGCAAAAGGCGGTCAAGAGACCAAATTATAGCATTATCATCCACATGCTGCCTCAGGCAGAAAAATTAATTATCCCTTTTCTGTTTCTCTCAAGTCAAATTATCAAGAAACATGTTTTAAACACACCTTCACCACCACCACCACATTCCCTCCTCAAAATAAGGATGGGGAAAAAAAAAAGGCAAGCCAAATGCCTCACTGCAGAAACCAAGAATGGTGAAAAACTTGATTGAAATTCTTATTTTCATGTAAACAGATTTTTTTATTCACAGAATTTCGTATTCTTGAACAAACCGTTACAGGCATGTCTTCATCCCATCTCCGTTGTCATCTTATTATGTCGTTTGCTATACTTTGATTCCTAAAGTAGTGCAATAGTTTATAAACCGTTTTAATGTAGCAAAATGTGCAATGCACCAGGCATGTGCCTAATCAAGGGTATTTTGGTCTGTCTCATGTAGTTTCAGGCAACTTATATTCCTATAAGTTGATAGGAAATGTAAATCTATTCCAATACAACTACTGGCAAAAAACCCTGCCATGATTGAAATTCATGGGAGTTCATCATCCCTAGAAACTAAAGAGCGTTCCATACTTGTCCCCATATAAAACTTATCCTCTCAATAAATTCTGCATGAGACTCAAAAAGTTTTGCAGTATTCATTTGTCCACAACAACTAATGAATTTGAGTTATGTATATTCATCCAGATAAAATCCATTGAATAAGTGGGACCATTGGAGTATGTCAACAAACATTATCCAAGCTCTCAGTCGAACTTTCTGAGCTCCAAACATTAATGCATGTTAAAGAATAAGCAGTAATGAAATTTAAAAAGACCTGCATCTCAATTGCGGAGATAAGCTTAATTTAGATGTAAAAAAGGCAACAAATACCAATCAGTACTAAACCTCAAAAATTAAACATTGCAATCTTTAGCAATGGAGCACCCAACACTTTCTTGAGAAAAAATGGAAGTCCCTAGTTTAGAGGACCTACCTGAGATGCATTAAGCTCTGGAAGACCTGGAGCACCAAACCTGCGGGGTAATGTGTTGCGGACCAGCTGCATCTCAACTTCATGGCCTAACAAGTGATGATAAATATACCTGCATGGAAGCAACAACTTACACTAAGTCACTACAAGATCCAAGCACAAAACAGGAAGCCTCAACCCAAAAATCATTATAAGTTCTTTATGGAAAGGTGATGGTGAAGCAAAGATTTAAGTCACCAGAGTGTCATTTTTTATTAAACAGCTTTATAAGAAAAGCATACAAGGAAAGAGTATACATGTATACTGTGTCCTCAGGCAGCATAATTACAAGTAGAGCTCTAGATACAAAACCCTCAACAAAACAAAAATCAGCATTGAAAGAAGATCAGCTCAGCTTGAAATAGCTCAAAACAAGTAGAATAGATGACACGAGATATTGCATATTTGCATGTGAATGGGCCCAATCGACCGCCTTGGAAATGTGCATACACACAGCACGTTTGAGAAAGATTTACTATCACTATCTCAATTCGGAAAACATATTGAGTTTGTTTGGACAAAGATAATTTGGTTTGCAAAATTTATTCTCACAAATCCCAATCACCTTTTTATCTTCCCAATCACCTTTTTATCTCACATACATCACATCACAAAAAGTGCTACAGTAAATATCTCAAATAAATCATCCAAATAAACTCTTATCCAAACAAACTCATTATATTCAGGTAAATGATTCAGTATCAAATAACAAATTAAGATAATGCTAAAACTAGCTACCCACCCACTAACACTAGTTTCATCAACAGCAAATGTTTTCATTGCTCCCTGCATCCGATCAAAACTTGTGCTTTTCCAAACAAAATCAACACTGAAACCATGGTTCACATCTACAGGGACGCCCTGCACACAACAATTTGTTTGCATCAAGTAAAGATGCAAAACCACCAACCAACACTTTCCTATTTCCTGATAAAAACTGACAGATAGAGACATACTAGGAAAAAATACCTGGCTAGCACGAAGCTCAAGAGCAACCTCCTCTTGTGCAGTCAACTTTATCTGGATAAAGAAGTTGATCAGTGAACCCATAATTTTAGGAAAAACAAAATTTTAAGACAGAAATATCAAGGCAAGCTAATTTCTAACAATCAACAAAAACTGCCGCCTAAAAAAATAAAGCATTCCACTCAACAGAGTTGACTCTTTAAGTGGTTAGAGCAAGTTGAACATATAAATCACCACTTTAACATGACGAAAGAGTGCAATAGATGTCCTACCACATGCCCCACCGACTGCCAAGCTGGATGAGCCGCATCCCCTGAGTACCGCAGCCGCAATTCGTCACCAGGAACAAGGCGCAACTCATTATCTTCCTACAAAAACACAGACATCATTCATTATAAAAACCAATAAACAAATGTCTTGCCAGCAAGAGAGAAATAAACTGCAACATAAGAGAGAGCAACAATTGAAAGCTAAATAAATAAATTTACAAATATACATTACCAATTCAACATACTAAGTATTACTAGTACCTTTGGGAAAACGAAATATGCAATTCGCTTCTTGTTGAGACCAATATCCCAGCGAACTGTAACATTATCCTTGCTTTGAGACTCTTTCATCATCTATCAAACAAAAACAACATTCACATTACTGCAAAGAAACATGATCCCATTTCATGTAACTTCTCTGAGATGGAAATCATCTTGGGGATGAACTTTGTCATAATTGTAGGTATACCTTGTCATAATCAGCTTCAAGCTTGATCAGTGGAGCAAAGACATTTTGGTACTGCAATAGAAAAATAACACTAAGTAATCGATCCAGAAAGACTGCTCACTCCATAATCTTCTCATGCTCACAATTGATACCCCATGCAGCCATAGGAATATTCAAAAAAATCACTACGGTTGTCTTATAAACATAGGCACCTGATATGCATCCTCATACTTCAAAGCCACGGGCTGAGGTTCGTCATCAACCCCAGGCTTTTCAAGATCTTCCAAAGTAGCATCAGGATTTGTTTTCCAAAGCTCTTCTACTTTGTTTATTTGCTGAGCACTGACCTGGCGTGCCCTCAATTGCTCCTGTTCTGAAGGAACCTGTACAATGCAACCAGTTGACAAATTTGGAATAGGAAATTATACACAAATATACTCAGGGGGTGTCAACTGGACTTTATGAGCTGGCTTTGATAAGCTTAAACTCAGTCATTTTGAGTTTTTAGATGTTTGAGACAAACTCAGCTTGTGCTTACATACACAACACCATGGCGTAATAAGAATATGTACATTTACATAAATGAAAAGACATACAAATACATGCATGCTTAATACACACAAAAACACACATGTATATTTTTTATCGGGGCTGAGCCTCAGCTCACTTTAAAATCGAGCTGAAGTTCAACCCAGCTCATTTTCATATTAGGCTCGGCCCTAATTTAAGTAGATCAAACAGACCGAGCTCAGCCAGCGAGCCCAAATGACAGTCCTAACTGTCTAAAGATATCACAGGAAAAACAATCACCTTAACAAGCCACTGCAAGAAACATCTATCATCGATGAGTGGGCACCACTGGCTCAAGTCCCAATTCATATCCTTCAAAGCATTAACGCTCAAACAAGGTTCCCTACAAAGCAGCACCACAACACTCTCTGTTTTGGCAGATATGAACCCAAGAAGAAAGACATTTCGACACCCACAATTATAACACTCTAAGATTGTTTCTCCCAGGGGACTGTCCTTGTGAAGACAAACTTCCTTGTGTTTAGCTCGCACCTATAATATGAGCCAACGTTAGGATATATCATACTTCTTAAATATCAGGTGCAAACAAAATATTTACCATCACCTGGTTTACAGCCTTGCTATACTTCAAACTTGCAAGAAAGGATAAATCCGCTAAGCCACCATGCATGACCCAAAATATACACACACACATGTATATATACACATATACATATACATATATGTATATATCTCTCATAACAACAACATTCCATCCGGTTAACATAAGTACAACAATTTCACGTCAACTATCCTATAAAAGAGGCAAATTTTATATAGAGGTAAAGATGGGACACAGAAACACCAGGTTGCTCAGAGAAAAAGAAAAAAAACTGATTAGCTCCAAAAGATATTTGAATTTCAGCACGAAAACAAATACCATCACCAATCTCATGCACGACCATGAGAAACTTAAGAAGCAAGTTTATATGAAGCCAGGTACTAAAGGATGATGACAATTTTTGTGCTAGCCAAATGCAGAGTTACGGCAATGATTCTCCCATTTATAGATAAAAATTGAAACAATTCTAAGTGCAAGTTTAAAAGCAGGTTGCCATAACTATGAAACACACACGAGGGCCCCCCAACACCAGAAGGCAACATATCCTAACAGCTCAAGGCACATAGATTTTCAGTCAAACAATCAATACCTAACTCAAGTGAATGTCCAACAACAAACTATCGTACTGATACATAACCAATTCTGACCGCCTAACTTGGACTTCTTAGAACTAAGAACATCAGTAATATAATTACAGAAACAGAAATTGTGCCACAATCCAATTTGGTTTGCACAATTCCTTCTGCTTTAATAATAGTTCCGAAATGTCAACAACAAAATATATCGGTTTATATTTCAAATACCCATGATCAACAACACAAAACATAAACAAACAATTAACTGACCCCTGCGGCAGAAATCACACTGTCTCCACTAACCAGATAATGTTCAATTATTTATTACTAATTCTCTCATTTTACCAAGAACTAATATGAGACAGATTATAGTTTTCCTAAGTAATAGCAGTTAAAAAATCAATGACAAAGGTAAATGTCATGAACTGGTGCAAAGTTCAGGATAATCTGGTGCCAACATAATTTTTTCTAAATCAGGCTTCACTTAAGTTGTCAAGTTTTACAGAGTTTCAACAAGAGTCATCATAGAGTTACACGCTAGATCTCCCTCAAATCCCATCTGCTTGGAGGAAAGACTAAAACAACAACCAAATACTTAAATGAGTTCCTTCCCCATTCCTTGTTTCTAATTTCTAGAGGTGTTACTATCTCAGGAATAAGTTTTGATCGAGAAAACTTCCAATCAAAAGTTTGCCACTTTCAATGAACAATTGTAATCTCACAGTATTCTGACCATCAACCGACAATTAGCTTCCAATGACCATAAATGGCTAAGCCCAGTCAACTTGTAGCTACAACTCCCTTGGGGAATTAAGAATTATACAGATGATGACAACCAAATAAGTGAACTGAAACTTGACTAGCTTTTGTCTGCAACTTCTATAAACAGCAGCAATTGAATACTCCAAATATACTCCATAACTAGTCAATTTTCTGTATGCAAGAACGGACAAAAAACTGAGCATAATAAATACCACCAACAAAGTTCCATGTGTTGAAATGAAAAATATTTGACCTTTCATTTTCGTATCATGCACTGCACCACCTTTTTGTGATATGCTATGTGCGAGATAAAAAGACGATTGGAGTGATAAAAACACATTAAGAAATAATATAAAATTTTTATTGGGATAATCACAAAACCAAATGCACTAGCCCAAAAATCTCTCAGACCATTGCATATCTATAGCAGTGCCTGTTGCGAACTCATGACTTCTGATCTCCACTTTTAGATCATCTTTAACCAATTTTGAAAGAGAGTATCAAAAATTTCCAATGCAAAGCTTATACCTTCAACCATTACAAAGTAAAAGAAGCATTGAAATAAAGATATACACCAGAGACAAAACAAGCCAAAATACATAAAGCTAAGACTTATCACAAGAAGCTCTTCGACACCTCAAATGAACCAAGATATATATCCTTGAAATAATTAGCGCATTGCCAAAAAAAAATTTAGAATTAGAAAAGCGCATAAACACTTCCAAAGTTGCAACTCACCAAATGATTCACAATATGCGAACCAGAAGTATTTCCCCTAGAATTACAGAACCATTTCCGACACGACGGCACATTGCACCTAACTACACAAGCGGGATTCGTGACCCCACAATACCTACAAGCATGCTCCACAGCAAAATCCCCTTTCCCATACTCAAAGCTGTCATCATCCCCAGTCTCCTCAAAATTCAACCCACTCATCCCAGCAGCCAGAGCATCCACAGCTGCCACCTGACTATTACTGCCACTCACCCCATTATTACTACTCCCATTATTCCCTCCACCTCGCGATTTCGTCGACGGAGAAGCATCCGAAGATGAAGCCGGTCTATCAGCTACCCCCGCCGCTGCCGCTTCCACCGATGACGACGAAACAATAGAATCCCCAGGTGTGGGCCACACCGACGATCTAATCGGCTGCGAAAGCTCCTGAAACTCAGGGTAATCAAAATCCTCACCTTGGGTATTGAACTCGAGGAATGTGTACGCATCGTTGCCGGTGTCCGGCTGCGACGCCGTTTCATACAAATTGTTCGCCTGAGAATCCATCCTTTCTTTATCCCGAACACGAATAATTCGCTATTCAGTATAACTAAGTGTTGAAATTCGAGCTAGTCTTTAGTATTCAAGGTAGGTTGTAAATACAATTTCTGAGAGTGGAGATTGTTAGTTAGGGTTTGGTGAATTTGGGGGTTAGGGCTCGAGAAGAAAGAGAAAGGAGGGAAGAGAGAGGAAATGTTGTTGGTATGAAAGCTTACGCGCGTGGCATTTATATCTGAACTGGTGACGAGGAGGTGATGACGTCGTGAAAATGAAAATCCTGAACTCGGAGGGACAGGACAGTTAACATTTTCTCGTCCAATGACAATTCGCCGTATCATCCACAATGGCCCGGTGCATGTGCGCCATTTGTATAATATGTCTTTAAGGTTGTCACGTGAAAGTCAGCTGATTATCCGTTCCCAAAAAGACAAAGGGTCAGTTGATGGAGTAATTCGTTGACCAAATTTAGAGGTTTAATTACATTTACGCCCCGCACATTTTGGCAAATTACTAACACACCTCTCATGTTTTGAAGTTTCATTTTACCTCTAGAACCTTTTTTTCCTGGAGAAAACGTAGGCCTCGTTGGGAAGGTGAGTTTTTTGGGTGTTTGTCTAAAATTTTACTATAAAATACTGTAGAAATTGTAAGAAAAAATTTTAAGATGAAAAACTTTTTTCTTTTTTTTTCTTTCCTCTCTTCTTCTTCTCCTTTCCCCTTCCCCTGGCACCTCTGCCTTTGACGTAGAAGAACCAGCAGCCATGGGAAAAAAATTTTTTCTCTTTTTCTCTCCCCCTCTTCTCCCTCTCCCTCTCCCTCTCCCTCTCTTACTCTCCTCCCCTTCCCCATCATCCTTCGACGCCAGAGAACTTGCAGCCATGGATTTTTTTTTTTTTTTACTTTTTCTCTCCCACTCTTCTCCCCCTTTCCCGCCACCCTCCCCCTCCTCCTAGTTGCAATTTGGTCGCCCAGCAGCCAACTTGCCATTTTTTTCCTTTCTCTCTCCCTCTTCTCCCTCTCCCTCTCTCCCTCTCCTCTCCCCTCCCCCTTGCACTTCGATGCCAGAGAACTTGCAGCCATGGGTTTTTTTTTTCTCTCCCCCTCTCCTCCCCTCCCCTAACTACAATCTGGTCACACGACCAAATCGCAGCCCCCCTCCCTCTCCCCTTTGCGAATTTGGTGGCGCGAACAAATCACAGCTAGTGGGAGGGGGAGGATGGCGAGGGATAGAGAGGGGAAGAGGGGAACGGAGCAGAGGAGGAGAGGGGATGAGGGAGAGGGAGAGAAAAAAAATAAAAAGAGGAAGGCTGGCACTGATTCCAGTGTCGGAATAGGTAACCGGCGCTGGGAGCGATGGTGGAGGTGGTGGCTGGCGACAGAGGATGTGGTGGGTTGGGTGAAGGAGGAAAAAGAAGAAAAATTAAAGGAAAATTTTTTGTATATTAGATATATTTTGAAGTGTGTAGATTAAAAACTTGATAAGTTTTTTGGGATTCATGTAGCAAAATTTGTTAAAAAAACTAGTAATATACAAACTTGCAAAAAAATTGAGGTTCCAAACAGGGCTATAAACTGCATTGATGAATCAATCGAAAAAAATAATTACAAAATAGGTGTTTGTTCCTAATGATCTGCAATTTCTGAATTTCTCTTATTATAAGCAATTCCTTATTCTTTTTTCTTTGGGATAAAGTTTACCATCACATTTATGTTTGATTTTGTAAAATGGAATAATGACAAATGAAAAGATTTTGTACAAATAATTGGAAATTAAAAAATATGTATGTTTAATCCTTGCAAGTTTTTCATACATTGCTATTTGTATGTAATGTTATCATCATTATTTAAAAGCATATAACATTCATAATAGACTAAATTTGTCAACTATTGTACTTGGTCAGGTTATCTAAGTTGAAAGACAAGTTTTTTACCAAATTTGTCTGTTACAAGTTTTTTAAAAACTTATGGCTCCGTTTGGATTAGCTGTTTTTGGGGTTGTTTTTCAAAAACAGCACTGTAGCATTTCGTTTTTGAAATACAAGTCCGTTTGGATTAGTTGTTTTTGGAGTTGTTTTTCAAAAACTATATGAAAAACTTTTACTATAAATGTTTTTTGGATTAGTTTTAGAGTTATTTTTACAACATATTTTTGGGTATTTTTATAATTTATAATTTATATTTTTATATACATTTATGCATTTATACTACATTTATAAATAAATATAGTTATATATTAGCTAAAAAAAATATAAATGTATTATAAATGTATAAATGTATATTATTATAAATGTATAAATTATAAATGAATATTATATAAATGTATAAATTACAATTTATAATTTATAACTTTTATATTTTTATATAAATATACATTTATGCATTTATAATACATTTATAAATATTTATAAATAAATATATTTATACATTTATAAAAAAATATAAAAATGTATTATAAATTTATTATATTATATATAATACATAATATAAATATATTTATAAATGTTTAAGTGTATATTATTATAAATGTATAAATTATAAATGAATATTATATAAATGTATAAATTATAAATTATAATTTATATTTTTATATTTTTATATAAATATACATTTGTGCATTTATAATACATTTATAAATAAATATATTTATGTATTTATATAAAAATATATAAATGTATTATATTATGTTTAATACATAATATAAATATATTTATAAACATATAAGTCTATATTATTATAAATGTATAAATTACAAATGAATATTATATAAATGTATAACTTATAATTTTATTAATATATATTAATATTAAGTATAAATGTATTATTATAATTAATATAAATGTACAAATGTATTAATATTATGTATAAATATAAAATTAATATTATATATATTAATATAAATGTATAAATGTATTATATTATGTATAATATACAATATTATGTATATTATAAATATGCATTAATATATATGTTATGTATATTATAAATATACATTAATATATATATATTATGTATAAATGTACATTTATATAAATGTATAATACATATAATATATAATATATATTATATTATATATAATTTATATAATATATAATATTCATATAAATATATTATAAATATATATAAATATTTTTTAAATAATATAAAGTATTTATAATACGTATAAATAAATATATAAGTATTTAATAAATATAATATACATTAATATTAATTATAAATATTATAATATTATAAATATGGTGTTTATATAATATTTCAATTTGTAATATTTATTGTATATTTCATTATATAAATATTCATATAATATATAATATATAATTTTCAATTTGTATAATATACATAATATTGTATATATATATATAATATAATATACATAATATACATTATTACATCATTACATATTATGTATATTATATATTATACATAACATTATTATACATTATTATACACAATAATGTACATAATAATATTATACATTAATAATGTATATATTATAATATAATGTACATAATATATTATGTATAAATATTTGCACATTTATGTATACAACATTACATATTATGTATATTATATTATATTATGTATAATATACAATATTATGTATAATATTAATGTATATAAATATTTATATAATATATAATATATATAATTTTCAATTTGTATATTTCAATTTCTATTAATATAATGTATATATAATATACATAATTAAAATATACATAATTGAAATATACAAATCGAAATATACATATGTAGTTGTTTTTGATATAATGTTTGGATACGGTATTTTTGAAGTTGTTTTGGAAATACACATTTACTGTAGCATTTGGAATGTGAAAAACAGTTTTTCAAAAACAGCCCCAAAAACAAGGGATCCAAACACACCCTATAGTAATCTCAAAAAATTTATCAAAGTTTTTAAACTATACACTTCAAAATATTCAAAATTTTACACACTTCAAAAATTTTTTTAAAAACTTCTACAGTAAACTACAATAAAATTTTAGACAAACACGAAAAAAACTCACTTGCCCAACAGGGATAATATGGCTCCACACTCAAACAATCGGAGATGGTTGAGTTTTAATCTTCATACTTGTTCCTCATTTTTTAAATTCCATCCCCGTCTTGCTTAAAAAAAATAAAAAGAAAAACGTTAAAACCATCCAATCTCCTAGATTACTAAATTTTTTACTAAAATAATTAATGTGAACCTTGCAACATCAAACCCTACTGCCCCTAACTTGTTTAGATTGTATAATATATTTTTTAATTATCTTTTTATTTTATATATATTTTATCCTACAAAAGTGCTGCAATAATATTAATTTTTTCTAAACACTTCAAAAAATGCAATCCAAACAAAAAACTATTTACTACAAAATAAAAAGACATAAGAAAACTTAGCAAGAAGGTCAAAGAAAGAGATTAAGGGAAAGAATAGGGAAAAGCAAGAAGAAAGGGAAATAAAAGAAAGGGAAAAATCGCCAATTTAGTCCTCAAACTATTTTACTAAATTCGATTTGGTCTCTCAACATTTTATCGCATGAATTAAGTTCCTTAACTAAAATTCTTGTGCCAATTGAGGATCTATACGGTGTCACCACCCAAAATACATATTTATGTACAGAAACCAACGGCGATGCAAGAGCTTTTTTGGAAGTACATAGTAGGATTTATGCGGGAAGCAATACAGAAACTATTTTGCATCTAAATGGGGGAAACCTTTAAGTAGCGAGAAAATAGAGGATTCAAATGAAGAGAAATGCTGGGGGTGGTGGTGATGCTGCTGTGGGTGCAAGGACTGCTGCTTCTCCTCGTGCTCGCTCTCCTATAAGGGGGAATGTTAAAGTTTTGAATGAGAGCCAGAATCAGAACCAGCAACAATCGATGTCACTCAGTCGAAGCAATTTTAGGAAGGCAGAACATTCTCCATACAGGAGAAATCCCTCGAGTGAGATTGACACAAATGTGGTTGCTGAAAATATGTCTTTGCCTGGTAGCAAGTCCCCTAACAGTATCATCACCCAGGTATGCATGCTCAGAGCACTATTTGGTGGCATGAAACATTTTTTTTGTTTAATTGCTTCTATTTTGTTAGTGAAGCCTACTTATTATTGTTTTTCCTTATAGCACTGTTGCTTGAGTTTAGTGATACGTGAAAAAAATAATGTGGAATATATTAATGATTTCATTCACATTAGTCTCTCTTGTCTGCAAT